CTTAAGGCCTTCGGTTTCTTCAGAATATTAGACACTTTTCGGGGTGTTGGTGGGGTGTGGTTGCCATGAAATTGGATGGCAACAGAATCTAACAAGTGGATACCTAGAAATGTGGTCCTATTGTACAAATCCCACATTGGAAGCGTATTGGGAGGTCTTGGGCTTATAAATAGGGGAGGAGTCCTCCACTAACAGGTTAGTTTGGGTGGAAAACTCCAGCCTGTGACAGGGTATCAGAGACGACCCAATCCGTCTTTCGATGTCCTGCCAAGCGCCCACGCAGGGGCGTCCAAGTGTGATGTGGGTCCACAAGAGTGAGGTGGAAGGGTAGACAGGAGGCCCCACCTGTGACGAGGGCGTCACAGGATTGGGTGGGGGAGACTGTAACAAATCCCACATTGGAAGCGATTGGGAGGTCTTGGGTTATTAACTGGGGGAGTCTCATCCCTACAGGTTGCCTTTTGGGTAGTGAAACTCCCAGCCTGTGACACTTATACCCTCAAAATCGAGACAAGTCGAAGGTAGAGAAATGTGAAAACAGACAAAACCTGAACTAGCCCCAGTAAAAAATATTTAATATATTAAAATATAAAATAATTATTATAATTTATATTTCCTTTAAAATTTTATATTATAAAAAGAACAAAATATTGGGTTTTTGGTGTACAATTGACAACAACTATTGTTTTTCTCCTTTTGGAAGTACCCACCTAGGGCCTTGCTCCTAAAAATTTGGGTTCGGGCCTCGGCCAGGCGAGACAATATCATAATGGAGAGGGGGCATCTTGATGGAGAGGGGGCATCTCCCCTTTAAGGCATGATCTAAAGGGCATCTTGATTCAGTGCGAATGTTGATATACTGCTGATCTTTCTAAATTTATTAACTATAAGAATTTCTTGTAAAACATAAATATGCAAATCAATAACTGTATCCCCTCAGCTCCATATCATTTGATGTCTTATATTAAATTCTACTGATTCATTTTGTTGAGCATACATCATCCTTATGTGCATTTTAAGACTTCTTGCACGTGGAGATGAATTATTAAATAGTACTGAACATAGTAATTGAAGTCTTAAATGTTTTTGAGACATGCTTATCAGATGAATTATTTAAATAGTTCTTAATTTAGTAAATTAAAGTCTATGTATTGCTCGAAGGATTTGCTAGATTGATGTTCGAGAATATTATGGAAATTCATGCTTTGTCATTTCTATCTTTGCAGGCGACTACCTTATCATGTTGTAACAGACTATGAAGCAGAGGAAGATGATAGAACCCTTGATTCTGACACAACAGGCCATAAGGCGATACTGGAACTGAGGGCAGAAATAGAGACAAGGGAGAAGGCTGGTAGAGAGGCTCATGAGGCCACGTTGCAAATGGCTGTGATGGTTCAAGCAGAGCAAGCTTGAGCTGAGTCTCATGCTCATGATGAAATGATGGCTTGAGCACCAATAAGGGCAAGTGCATTTGGCTCCCAAGGCAATAATATTGGTGATGATATGGGAGAGCAGGAACAAGGTGTTAACCCATATGAAATGATGAACGGACAGGGAAGCAATACTCAGAGAGATGAGAAGGAGCCGTCTGAAGATTATTTAAATGACGAGGAAACTGAAAATGGGGAGACAAGCATGCAAGATGAGTGGCGCGAAGTGGGAAATTTTGATTTGAACTCCAAGTGAATCCACGAGAATTCTTAACCACGACAAGGGAAATCAATGGAATCTAAATGACGTGAGCTTCTTGTTGAATGTCAATTTTTTGTAGATGAATTGGTAGGTGAATGTCAATTTTTTCCCCTTTATGTGAACATATAAATCAATGTAAAGTGGGTATATATCGTAGGTTGATTATTATTATTTATATTCATGGTTTGTTTTGCCTCACATTATTTCTTCTGCGGAAGGTTACTTGTAGAATATTTTTGGGCGTTGGGTTGCATTAAGATACCAAAAATTATTCATTTTCTGAATAAAATGTCAGTAGGTAAGTTTGACCAGTTACCCAATTGCGGCGGCTTACGTCTCATAATCTCATCGACTTCAATGGAATTTTAAGTTGTTACGTAGGTAACTATAGCCGGTAGGATTCTTCAGTTGACCAAATTTTTTTTTATATTATATATATTCTTAATATTCAAAGAGTTAATGACATTTTGATCCTTAGGTTTGCAAATGATAGGGACTAAAACGTGATTGACAGAGATCAAAATGTTACTGAAAAATTTTAAAAACTAAACTGTATTTAAACCAAACTGTAGGAATGAAATTTATTTTACCATAAATAGAAGTATCAAAGTTCTATTTAAAAGACAATTTGCAAAAAATCATTAGGGGTTTCACCGTTCTATGTGAAATTTATCAAAAAAAAAAAGAAAAAAACCTTCATATGTGCTTTTCTCTCAAATAAATGCTACACTATTTAATCATAGATGGTATACTTTGTGAATTGCAAAATTATATGATTTAGTGTAACTAATAATAATAATAATAATTCTCTAATAAGGATTGATCTATTATAATTATGTTATACTAATATTGGTTAATATAAAACATTGAATTTATTAGAGCATACATCTTTTTATATTTTTATTATAACTACTTTTTAAAACAATTTTTTATTATTTTCAACTGATAATGCTATTTATAAAGCATCCTTCAATTAATATAATAAAATATCTATTTTACCCCGTTGTATCATTTATTAAAATCAAAATAACTTTCATTTTCTTCATTTTTCTTTTCTTTTCCTTTCATTTTCCGGACATAGATGAAAAATCTAATACTGTTGGCAGTGCATAAGGATGATTTTGCCAACATTCTAGGTTTTCAATTACCCACACCATTATAAACCCACCATTTTATAACGTATAGCAAAAAAATTCGCCCGCAAGTTGGCGAAAATTCTAACCCACAAGTTTTGAAAATGACACTATTACCTAAAAAGCTAACGCAAATATCATATTTTCAAACATTTAAATACCTTTCATTGTGAATTTAACGGTTAATATACAACATAAGATATCTATGTCACATGACGAAGATTATTTGATTACATCCGTACCAATATTTCAAAAAGTATAAAATGTCAGTCGTTAGTAGTATTGTGAGTCAATAGTATACTGATACTCAACTAAAATAATTAAAATATCACTTTAATCTTTATTCATTTATCAATCAAAATTGAAATGATGTTTTTCCATTTTCTTTGATTTTTTTTTTTTCACAAAACTATCAATCTTAATCATAGGAATGGGAACATAATTTGTTATTCTTACAATGGAAACCATTATTGGATGAAAAGTCAATAATATGGCAACATATTGTATGTGTTGGGATATGATGGGTGCTTTTTTTTTGTTCCGTGTGAAAATGTATGTCTTTAGGAAAACTTATTAACAAATAATACAATTGTTATAGGAATAAAATTTAGGAGTCTTAATAGGAATTGAAATATGAATCCTATTAGAAATAGAATATCTCATATACTATCTATAAATATAGGGGTGAGAACCAATTCAAGGTTATGAAAAATGAGGAATGTCAGAACATAAAGTATTTGATGTAAGGGTTATTAAACACCATGGGGATAATGTCTTAGAAATTGGATTGTTTCCACTCTAGGACTGAGTTGAAGTGATTAGAAACTAGGATTGTTTCAATTTGTTTCATGAAACCTATAATGGATTTCTTAATCTTGTAAATTAAGCAGGGTAATCCGAACCACATAAATATCGTGTCTCTTAGTGTGAAGTGATATTATTCCTATGTTATTTATCTAGAATGTATGTTTTCTGGTGTATGATCTCCTAACAAGTGGTATCAGAGCTCTAAGTTGCGACCTAGGAAGATAAGTTATTTCGAGATGGTGATGCACATAAGAGACAGACTACAACAAGTTTAAGTTATAGGTGGAGTGGTTCTCAAATCATGGTGGCAAAATTTGACATGGTTACTGTGCAACCTGGTTCGATGCTAGCAAAATTTGACAAAGTTACTCTGTGAATTGGATGTTGTGATGGTGGAGCATTGTCTTCGTCATGTTCATTGCTGTGATGGAAAATTCTCACGTTTATTCCTATGATGGAAAACTCTCATGTTCATCGCTTTGACGGAAAACTCGTCAACGTGAAGATTGTTGAGATATTGTGGCTCACTTTCTTATTTGTTCCCTTGTAAAATTATTTTTTATTTAGGAATACAATTAGAAATATGAATATAATTGTATGAGGAATTAAAATAAAATTCCTATTAAGATTTAAGTCATATTAGGAATAATGTCCCATGTATTATCTATAAAAAGGTGTTAAGTCCTAGAGTTAGAGACAACAAAAGAATAAAAGGCAAAACCACAATTAGAGAGTGAGAGCCATCAAATAGGGTTTAGTGAGTGAGTTAATTTGTGAGGCTTGAGAGTCTCTTGTAATTTTCCTTCTTCTTCAAAATGAAATTCTGTAGCAGTAAAGTGGACATAACTTTCATACGAAGAGTGAACTATTATAAATCTTGTGTTTATGTGTGGTTATTTTTTTGGTCATTTGTTCGCATTATTTTCGCTTTTAGGGATTTATGATTTGTTGGTATCTAATTAAATACACACAATAATTGGTATCAGAGCTCTAAGTTGCGACCTCGGGAGATAAGCTATTTCGAGATGGTGGATGCACATAAGAGATAGAATACAAGAAGTTTAAGTTGTAGGTGGAGTGGTTCTCAAATTTTGGCGGCAAAATTTGGCATGGTTACTGTGCAACTTGGATGCTAACAAAATTGAACAAAGTTACTCTGTGACTTGGATGCCGTGACGGTGGATCGTTGTCTTCGTTATGTTTATCGCTGTGATGGAATTATGAAAAAAGAAATAGAAATAGTACAAAATTGATAAAGCCAAAAGGTACAAGCAACAAGCATAGCATCCATAAAAGGAGAAGATGATATGTTGATTTATTAGCTTAATTTAATTAACCTAAAATGTAATTTCAATACTTAGAAATTTGTCTATAATTCTGAAGGAACTCAACAAAATTGTCTGCATATTGATTCTGAAGTTCCTTATCAGCAATTATAATCCTCATTTCCTTGGCTTTATCCCTGTAAACTCTTCCTTCTTCTTCGACTATCACCATCCTCAATGTCTCCGCCACCGACTTCCTCGAATACACCCCGTCTTCTTCATTTCTCTCTATTTCTATCCCCGCTTTCTTCTCCGCAAAAACTCTTGAAACTAATCCATGATCCATCACAAAAGGTAGCAAAACCAATGGACGCCCATAATGGAGTGCCTCGATAATTGAGTTTAGCCCACAATGAGTCAAGAACGCTCCCACCGATTCATGAGATAATATCTTCAGTTGAGGTGCCCAACTCGTCCACACCACTCCGCGGCCCTCGACTCTCTCCTCGAACCCATCCGGAAGCTCCACCGGATTGTGCTGCCTTCTCAGACACCAAAGGAAGGGTAATCCGGATAGCTCTAGCCCTCGAGCCAACTCAGTGAGGTCTTCTTGACTTGGATTTATCTCGCTTCCTAAAGCTACATAAACCACAGAACCTGCTTTTTGTTTGTCCAGCCACTCGCTGATTATAAGCCAAGAATTATGCTCAGTTACATTTTCTCTGTTATCTTTATCCGAGGGCGGTAATAGGCCGACGGATACAATTGGTTTACCATGAAGCTCTCCCATGAGGTTTAACCATTCCGATTCTAGCTCCATGCAGCTCTTAATAGCTATCACATCACAACCAGCTATCGCCGATCCGAAACGAAACAAGTCGCTCACTCCCGAATCGTCTTCTTTAAGATGAACGAACAGTTTCTTCGCCTCGTGGAGGCGAAATGCTATCTCGGAATGAAACGGTACCCAATTCGGAGGAACAGTGTAATCTTCCGGCTTAGTCCTTGGATCCTCGCCGTTGATCATTGCGGTTGTTGATGATCCGAAGAAACATTTTGACCAAGCTGGGAAGATACTGAAGTAGGCGCAAGAGATGCCAAGATTGGCAGCTATTGGTGGTAACCAATAAGAGAAGACATCGTAAATGATCCAATCAGGAGTACAAGTTTGTAGAAACTGAGTTAAAGAATCCTGGAGTTTATCATAGGACATTTTGAGGTATTGAACTTTGGAAAATGGCAAGTCAGTGGTGGCTTCTGCGTCTTGAGGGAGATTATCTTGAGGGGGTAAAATGAGGGAGACGAAGTTCATGAATGGTGATAAATTTGGAGGGATTTTTGGCAAGCGTTTGATGTTGTTAGGAGTTGATATGAAAAAGACTTTGTGATCCTTCCCAGCAACGTGCTTGGCTAACTCAAAGAAGGGGAGCATGTGACCAAAGGCTAGCCATGGAAACATGGTTATGTGAAGCTTTTTAGGCGTAGCCATGGAACTCAAGCTGGAGGTTTTTTTTTTTTTTTTCGGTCAAGAGATGGCAATGGTGTTTTGGGTCATCAATTTCACTTATTCGGGCGGTAACATCAAGGCACCTTCTAAGATATTTGATAAACATGTGGGTTTTTCGACCTTAATTGATTGACACTTGGTCATCCATTTTACACTTGTCAATTAAGGTAATCAATTATTATTGAACTCAACTATGGAAGTAAGAAAATTATTCAAAGATTAAATAAAATATAAACTAAAAAATTTACTTGGAATAACCATTTGGTGTACAATAACGTCTCAGCTCGTTTATGATGTCTTTCGAACATAGTTGACTATTTGTCTTGTTATGAACTTATGATGTATGTTAGTTATCCATTAACATACTTCCTCTCTTAATTACCTACCTTAAGTCCTTAACTTAAATATTGAAAATGTTCTTAAATTGAACAATTTAAAACATTGTATCCCTTTCTTGTCATTTCATGTAAATATCATAGTTTAATTAATTATATCTCTATATATGCGTGATTATAATGGCATATTATTCAATTTTCCAATTTGTTAATTCATTTTCTAACTTTATAATTTCATGGTTACTATCATGTTGGCGTACTCGGCTTGAAATTGTTATTATTTGGATTAGGCATGAAGCTCTGACGGGTTGAATAATACAAAATAAATTACCAATATTATAATATATATATATATATATATATATATACCAGAAGGGACACAGGATCGTTACACACAAATAGGAGATATGCAGAGATTATTTAAACAAACTTAAAATAAAACTTAAAATTTAAATAAACATTAATTTAAATAATCTTACAACTTAATAATAGAACGGCAGCAGAGCTGCACTGAAATCATATTAAGAAGTGAGATTAACACTTAACTAAGTGACGGCGGCAGTGCCGCACTGGAACTAAATTAAGTGATGAACAAAAATCTAAAGAAACAAAGAACACAAATAAAAACTTAAATAAACATTACAAATAAAAACTTAAATGAACATTAAAACCAAACATGATGAATGATGAAGAGATTAATAAAAGAACTAGAACTTGAAAGATTAAAAGAGAATAATCAAAGAACTTGAAAGATATTGAACTTACAATGAAAGCTTTTTTTTTGGAGAGCTTTTGGAAGTTTACATCAAAAGAGAATGAAAGAGAAAGTTTTAGAATTGGCTTGGTAAAGCTTGGTCCACATTACACGAATGCTTCTAATTTACAGAAAACTTTATCTCATTATAGCATCACATGAATACTATTGAGTGAATATTTTAATAATATTTTTTTTTAAAGAGCATTAAATGTCTCTTTTGTAGGGAATCTCTGACTCTTCAATATTATGCCAGATATTCTCTGAAGCTGATGTCGGTTTTTCGACCAGTCTTCTTTTTTAGAGAAGCGGTAATTTCGAACTGTTTGGAATAAGTTAGATGATTCCATAGCAGTCATCTTCATTGCTCTGAGCGAGGTTGACCGAGGCACTAGAGCTCTGGTAAGATTCTTCTCCGTCTTCTTCTTCTGCTTCCTTTTCTTCACCTCGGAGTTGTGAAAGAATAGTCTTGAGGTGGTCTTTGAGTTCTTGTTTTGTCTTGGCTCTTGCTAAGGATACTGATGCCACAGTCTTTTTCTGTAAAAATTTTGCAATTTCGGGGGGTATTGCCTAAGTTTGATGAGGTGAACTTGAGAGACAAAGTTAAATTTTTTCTTTGGACAGGTGGGATGCATCAAATTTATCCCACCACTTGACTTTAAATTTCCGGATCAAATTAGGGAGATTGCTAATATTTTGGACAATTTCATATTCCCATTGTAAAATCCACGAGAGGTGGAACTTTGCTGAGAAATGAAGTGATGGAGGGAAGTTTGAATCTGTTTCAGAAACTTTGAACTTGAGCTTGAACTTATTGAATCCTTCTTGGACAGTTGGGGGTAGGATTTCAGGAATTAATCCAAAATGATCCCACCATTGGGAAAACCAATTGGGAAATTTGAACAAAGTGTTCCTTTTGAAGTAAATCATCCAAGAGTGCCTGTGATGACTATTTTGGAGAAAGAGTGATCTGTTCCAAGCTCTTTGATAGTCCCAGTAATTATATCCAGGGGGTCAAAATTTTGGGAAAATTTTCTGAATTGGTTTGGGTTAGATCCCCAATCAGAAGGACTAAGGATTTTCATAATATGAAAGGTTGAATGAGTGATAAATCCTGGTTGGTTTTTATCCTCATAGTATTTAAACTCACAAGAGTCAGAATCAACAAGAAGAAATTCATAAAAATTTTTAGTTTTCCTTAAATCTTCAAGGATAAAATGAAAGTTTTTTGGAAAAATTTGTTGAACTAATTGTTTAGGGTTTTTAAAATCATATCCTTCTTCGAAAACCAAAAGATTAGTTGCAATTCCTTTTTGAATATATTTTTGTCCTGGTTTAAGGGCTTTTAGTGGTGTAGCCGTAGGAACAAGTTCTTTGTTTTTTGAAAGAGCAATTTGAGCTGCCTTTTGCAATGTGCTTAGTGAAATTTTTTCACATTGGGAAAATTCTTGGGAATTTTTTGGAAGAGTTTGANTACAAAATTTGCTCGCCAAACTAATAAGAACAAGCAACAAGTTCAATAGAGCCGGATTCACAATGTTTTAATGAGCACCAATCTTTCCTTGGGATACATTGCTCCTAAATCCTCAATTCTCCAAATCAATTACTCCTAAAGATCTAAATGATTGTAGCCATTGTTTCTACAGGAAAAAGGGATTTGCATCTTGATTGGCCTACCCGGTTCAATATATGCCTGGGAACTGCGAGAGGTCTAGCATATCTTCACGAGGATTCAAGGCCAAAGATTGTACATCGAGATATCAAAGCAAGTAATATTTTACTTGATGCAAAACTCTGCCCCAAGATATCAGATTTCGGTTTGGCAAAGTTGTATGATGACACGAAAACTCACATCAGCACAAGAGTTGCAGGGACCATGTAAGCTCCTTCAATCATTTCTTGACTGCCACTCTTCCTTAATACTTGTAATGTGCTGCAAAGTATAATATGATGTATTCTATACATGTTGTCTTGGAAGTTACCAACAATACCTAGTAGATTTTGTTGTAGAGTATTTCAAAATGTCAACATACATGTATTGATGAAAATGACTGAGAGCAATACATGTATGTTGAGAGAACTATTTGTGTCATCTTTTATAGTCACATAGTGATTGATGCTATAATCTTTGGAGGGGACTTGATTTGTGATTGTGTTGCTTTGTTATTCTTCAAGTTTTGCTAAATGTTAAGGGTTTTCACATTGTAAAGGCGAGTGGGCACATGGGATACGGTTGATCATTAAATTCAGTTTGAGAGCAATATCCAGACTTGACTTTTGGATTTTAACCATGAGAAACACTTGATTATTTTGTAGTGGTTATCTGGCACCGGAGTATGCAATGCGTGGACACCTGACAGAAAAGGCTGATGTGTTCAGTTTTGGTGTTGTTGCTTTGGAGATTATCAGTGGAAGAGCAAACTCTGATACTAACTTGGATAGTGAAAAGATTTATCTTCTTGAATGGGTAAGGAAATAAATTTGAAATTTGATTTGTTAATTTTGTTTGCTTTCTTCTATGATTCCTAGTTGAGAAAAACATATTTCTTTTGAATTGTCTATATGCTATTTCCAGGCCTGGAGTCTTCATGAAAGTAACCAAAGTTTGGGGTTGATAGATCCCCAGTTAACAGAGCTTAATGAAATCGAAGCTCTTCGAGTAATAGCAGTGGCTTTGTTGTGCACTCAAGCATCACCAGCATTACGGCCACCAATGTCACGCGTTCTTTGCATGCTCACTGGAGACATAGAAGTGGGAACTGTTACTTCAAAGCCAAGTTATTTGACTGATTGGGATTTTAAGGATACGACAAACTGCTTTTTTAACGAAGATATTGATACATCCACATCTGCAAGAAGTTACAGCAAAAAGAATAGCCAATCTGAGAATGCAACTGATCTTAGTTCTGGAGTTGACCCACTGCTNTTATACTCCTTTATAGGGAATTGTTACTTCTGTTAAAGGTGGATGAATTGACTCTATTTTTTCACTATCTTTTCCTCTTGCGATTTTCCACTGTTCTGTTTTTGTTTTTGTTTGGACATTGATTGTTTTTTCACTATCAAACCATTGGAAGAAAGGTAAAAGAATTTGGTGTGTTTTCATAAAGTTGTAATAATTTTGTTGAATTAGATCTCTTTCTTTTTTATTAAAGTTTTTGAAGAATGTTTCTCTTAGTTCTTGATTATCTTTATATATATATATATATATGATCCTTCCCCACATAGACTTTCTCTCATAAATCAAATTATTTATATCCAAAAGTAATTTACTATTTGAATAAGGAAGATTCAAACTCTGCTTTTTAATTACTAATAGTTTAGATTATTTTTGGTATATGAGTTTGATTTTGTATAATTTGGTCTTTCATGTGCTAGAAAGGTTGGTCACAATACACTTTCTGGCCTCTCCAAAGGGGCATCGAAATCTTAAGATCTTAACTTTTATGTAAGATTGACAAACTTTGAATAGAATTTGAATGACTTGTTAGAGGTGGATTTCTAGCATTTTGTTTTGTTTAGGGCATCATAAATAGGCTTGTTGGCTTGTATTTAGTACGTGGACTGATGGAAGAAACAATATGATGATGAATAAATTGTTTCCTATCTCAAATTTTTCTCTCATTCTATCTATTTCTTACTCTCTTTTCTCTGTTTTTAATTCTTCTCACTATCCTACATCAATTGCGTACAGTTTTTATTGGGATGACTGTATGACGATCAAAATGTTTTTATTCTAAAATTGATTACTGTAAACACTCTTTAACCTAAAAAACAAAAAAAGAAAAAAAAAAAAATGGAAGTCTTAAGATAAAAAACAAAAAAGTGTCGTATGATTCAATGGATCACATACTATGTTTAGGAAAACTCAAAATCACAGTTGAAGCCATTGTGCTTGTACATAACCTGTATACCATTCATCCATAAATTCTGCTTGAAAAACCCATTCATCCATAAATTCTGCTTCAAAAACACGTTGATCTTGGGAAAATTATAAATACTTATCTTACAAATGTATGAATTATGAAAAAATAATGACTATTGAAGAATGATATTTTTCGGCCATGCATGGCTCTAGGTTCCAATAATTTCTCTGGGATACTCCCTCCTAAACAGGGTAAATTAGTCAAACTAACAGATGTGGATTGTTATTCATTTTGTTTAATATATATTTGTTTAGTTATTTTTTAAATAAAACTATAGTTTTCACATCACAGATTCAATCTTATGAAATTAAGAAACTTTTTATTGGTGAATTTAACGGTAACATAGATAGTTCTAGACGAGCTAATATTTGAAATTTGAGAATTATATAAGGAAGATCCCATCTACATGTTGATGGTTTTCTGTTGCTACTATGCTTAAAGATTGCCTTGTTGCCTGAATTTGGCTTACAGTGAGTGATTTGTTAAATTTCAGGTGGGTATTTGATTGTTCTTTATCAGGAAAATTCCTGATTCCATTGGGAACTGGACCAATCTCACAATAATGTTATGTATGAAAAACTATTTCATGATATTCAAATGTGTCATGTGAATGATAGCAAAAGTTTCTATAGCTTTTGTCTGGATTAAGCATTTTGATTATGTTGTTAACTAGTCTATCAAATTTTTCTGTAGGAAATTTGGAGGAAACTCTTTTGAAAACAAGGCGAGCTCATCTCTCGATTTCATAAAAAAATTGAACAGATTATAATTATTTTGTAACTTACACATACTTCGTTATGTTATATCTAAATTTTTTCATTCAAAAGCTAGTCTTTTTATTTACTTGAATGAGTTAATTATTCATGTCCTATAGTATAAGTATAAATGTATAATATATTCCAATAAAATTAATTTAGACAATTAAAAAGATAAATTTCATTTAACCCAAAGATGATGATGTCATCGTCATCATCACAAAAAGAGCCTCCAAAGTGATGGCCCACAGTTTAGTTGAATCCAACGGGTGAAAACACGTCGACGGTGGAACAGTCATGTCGTGAAAACAAAGGTGAGGGAAAGAGCAAAATGAAAAAGTAAGGCATGGAACCCAAGATGGCCAAGCTGCATTATTATTATCCGGTTAGTGATCTGGTTACTGCCACGTTTCTCTTGCCTTAACCTGTCCTTATGCATACGTGTCCAATTCCTATTGGTTTCTACAGCTAAGAAGGCTAGGTAACAGTGGACTAGACATGTACCATTCGTTTGCTTTAATATAAAAGCCAATATAATTCCAGTGGAAACAATTCTCTAAAATTCTCATGTAAAGGCACAAACATGAATTCCAGTGTGAAAATTCTACTTTTTCCTTCAGGATTTTCGCACTTTTGCTTATTCTTTTTCTTGGTAATTCACAATTCCGCTGCTCAAATTACTGACCCCAATGAAGGTACTCTCCCTCTTCCTTTCTTTTATGGGTGTATTTTATTTTACAAATTAATTATTTGTTTTAATTATTGAATATACAATTGTTTATGAAGTATTGTACTTAACTAATTTATGAGTAGCTGATTGAAGTGAACCCCATTTAGCAAAATATATCTAGTTTGTTTAAAAGCTGTGCAGGAGAAATAATTTATAAAATTATATTAATTAAATATAATTTATAAATAAAATTAGAGTTTAAATGGGTTTTTTTGTAATTAACATGCTAAAAGTAGTTTTTGAATTCTAAAAATTATAAAATCCAACATCTGAAATTGATTTGCTAAACACTTTTTAGTTGATAGCTTAAGAAATATTTAAGTAATTATTCTTTAGCTACACCAATCCCAAACACTTAATATTGTCTGGGGCTCCTTGAGTATGGGGGTCTTTTGTTGGTATGAATTGAGTTGTGTGCTCAAGGGTGATTATAAAATTTAGTCTTCCTTGTTAAACATTTCTGCTAACAAACGGCTCTAAGGGGAGGTCAGAGACTCAGAGTCAGAGGGGATGTGTAGAATAGTATTTTAAACCAACAGGGGCGGGGAATGTTTTTAAAATGACCCTAAGGTTCAATCTTATCTGGGTTTTGATCTCAAATAATAATTTTTTTGCTAAGATTTCAGAAATAATATGAATTTTCCTATTGTTACCAGCTGTTAATATGCCGTTGAAATATATAGTATAATAATTAATAAATATTTATCCAATTAGCCCTCTCATTTCTTTTTTAACCAAAAACTTAACCACAGGATAATATATATTAGTATAACTCTAGGGGGATTACAATAATTAATTATAACTAAGGGGAATTATTGTTATTAACCTTTTACTTCAACAACGATAAACCCGGATGGTAAATTCACAATTCTAAGTAATTTGAGTAATTTGAATGCTTCCTGATATACCTATGGGCCTCAAAGATCAATGATTTTATGAAAATCTGTGATACTTGCAACCTTGCTTGCATTCTCAATTCTAAGTAATTAGAATGCTTCTTGAGCAGTGAGGGCGTTGAACTCAGTATTTCAACAATGGGATGTAAAAGCAAACCCAAGATGGTGGAACATAAGTGGAGAGCCCTGCAGTGGAGCCGCTATAAATGCAACTAGCTTGGATGACTATAATCCTGCTATCAAATGTGACTGTTCCTTTGAAAATGGCTCAATTTGCCACATCACTGAGTTGTAATCTCTTTTTCTCTATACCAAATTTAGGGAAATTTTCATATTAACTTGTTTCAAGTTTTGTTTCAGTATAGACAGATTATATTGCTTCAATTGAGAATGGGTTTTGGGTTAATTTTGTGTTATTGGCATTGATTTTTGAGTTATTCATAACTCGAACTGTTTATACTATACTATGTAGATTATTTCTGATGCTTTAGATGGATCTTAACTTTTGGTTAAAACTTTCCCTAAAGTCGTGTATACAATTCATCCTTTAATTGTGTATTTTTCCTAAGCCAAGAGAGTTTGCATGTGTCATTAGGTCAAATTTGAGGAGATATGACTGAAACTTGTCTTTATTTTTCGCAGGAGTGTATTTGCCTGGACATAAAAGGTGATTGCTAGAAGAACTAGTGGCTTTGCAATTTCTGACAATTTTGATGGGTTTTCCCATTCATTTCCCTGCGCTTGATTTTATAAGTCAAATTTACCTTCATCATTTTCTAACTAATGGACATTATATTTGATTGGATTTGTTTTTCTATTTAACATTGCAGTAAATCAAACGAAATTACTTCACTGGTCCTTGCCTGCATTTATTGGAAATTTATCTCAATTGAAGGATTTGTAAGTATTGAAAAATACCCTTATGATTGAAAGCCTAGTTTGGATTATGTTACTTATGTAGGATTATTTTTGGTATATGAGATTTGATTTTGTTATAATTTTTTCTTTTGTGTGCTAAGAGGTTGGCCACAACGTACTTTCTGGGCCTCTCCCGAAGGAGCTTGGAAACCTTAAGAACTTAACTTTTCTGTAAGATTGGCAAACTTTCTCCTTTTTTTTTAAATTCTCTCTTTTATTCTATGCCATTGCTTAGTGTGGTTGATGCTGAATTAATAATACAAATAATTTGTTACTTAAAGAAAGATTTATTTTGGGAACCTGGAGACATTGCTTTTTAAGTTAGATTTAGATTTTTTTATACAGTTTTTCCCACTTTTAATAGAATTTGAATGACTTTTTAGGTAGATTTCTAGCATTTTGTTTTGTTTAAGCCATTATAAATAGGCTGTTGTCTGTCTTTGGTATGTTGACTGATGAAAAAACAATATGATGAATAATTGTTTCTCTTTAGTTTCTCTCTTGTTTCAATTTTTCTCTCATTTATCTATTTCTTGCTCTCATTTTCTCCGTTTTTAATTCTATCCACATCAATGACGTATAGTTTTTAGTGGGATGACTGTATGATGATCATATTGTTTTTATTCTGAAACTGTTACCATAAACCACTCTTTAACCTATAAAAAGAAAAATGGAAGTCTTAAGATAAAAAAAAGTGTCATATGATTCAATGCGTTGCATACATGTTTATGAAAACTCAAAATCACAGTTGAAGCCATTGTACTTATACATAACTTGCATTACATTTCTCCATAAATTATGCTTGAAAACCATGTGATAATGGGAAAATTGTGATTTTTCTTACAAATGTATGAATTAGTGAAAACTATAACCACCAGAGTTATATTTCTCGATAAATGCCATGCAGAGCTCTGGTCCAACAATTTCTCTGGAACACTCCCTCCTGAACTGGGTAACTTATTCAAACTAGAGCAAATGTAGGTTTCTTACTATTTGTTTAATATATTTTTCTTTATTTATATTTTGCCACAGTAATTTTCACATCAGAAATTCAGTCTTATGGAATTAAGAAGTTCTTTATGGTGAATTTAACAGTAACATAGATAGTTCTGGACTAGGCGGGGAAATTCCCCGACATTTGCTATCTTCGAAATATGCAATTATGTAAGAAAGATCCTATCTACATTTTATGGCTTTCGGTTGCTGCTATGCCTGAACATTACCTTGTGCCTGAATTTGGCTTACAATGATGATTTTTTGAATTTCAGGTGGGCTTTGATTGTTCTTTGACAGGAAAATACCTGATTTCATTGGGAACTGGACCATCTTACAACGTTGTAATATATGAAAACTTCTTCGAGATTCAAATGTGTCAGATGTGAATGATAGCAAAGTTTTCTTTAGTTTTGTCTGGATTAACATTTTGATTATTTTGTTGACTAGTTTTCAAATTTTTTAGGAAATTTGGGGGAAACTCTTTGAAGGTCCTATACCATCCAGTTTTTCTAACTTGACCTCATTGACCACATTGGTATAGCTCAGATAATATACCCTTAAAAACTAGCTTAAAAAATTAACGTGACACGTATCATAAGTGATGTTGGATTAATTGTGTAGGCAAATCACTGATATAAACAATGTGAGCTCATCGCTCGATTTCATAAAGAATATGAAGAACTTAATTATTTTGTAAGTTACACGTACTCCATTCTATTAATCTAACTTTTTAGTTTCTAATTTCTTTTCAGCTATTCATTTTGACACTAATCATTTTTTTTTCCCGTAGGTCTCTAAGAAATTCTCTGATCTATGGTAGCATTCCTCTATATTGGAGAATATCAAAGTTTACAGACTCTGTAAGATAGTATTGTATTTCCATGGGTGTGTCTCTTATTGTTTGTTGGTGTATTCCTTTTTATTTTTTTTTTATCATTTCTCTCTTTTTGCAGGGATTTGAGTTTCAACAACTTAATTGGTCAAATCCCAAGTGCTTTGTTCAGTATTGATTCTCTTACCACTTGTAAATTTTTGAAGCTTCTCTCCATCAAAACCATCAATTCTTGATTTAAGAACTTAAATTTAAGTTAGGTTTTTACTTTAAATTTTTGTCGAAGCTTATTCTTGCATTAAATATGCATTCTTTTGCTTGTTGCTTCTCTGCCAGGTTTTTTGGAAACATAGTCTGTCAGGAATCCTTCCTGAGCAAAAGCTCTACATCTTCAAAGCATGTAAGCCTTAATTTCAGTTCTCTTTGAAATAATGCCTATTATATCAAGTTCAGTAAATGGATGCTATACGTCTATTTATTGTATTTGCCTTGAAATTTTTAGAGGCTCCAATTTGAATAGCTGTTGCTGCCAAACACTTAGTGAATAGATTATCAGGAAAAAAAGAGAGATAAATCTTTCATCGTGCAAAATAGAAGAATGAAAAGGCACTACTGCTACAGATATGTACTTGGAATTAGGCCAACCCATTAAAAAATCTGAACAATAGTGTAGCCACTTTCTCTTGACAAGTAATTGATTAAAGCAATTGAAAATCTTAACTGAATAGTTCCTTTTCAGTTTTATGTGCATATGTTCCTACTCACTGGTGCATATCAACTATTTTCCTGCAGAGTTTATCTTACAATATCTATCAGGAACTTTGCCCTCGTGGGCTACGTTTCACAACAGCTGTATGTCTCTCGATCCATTATAATTTCTTTGCCATCTGTTTCTTTTTTTTTTTTGGAATTCACACCTTGCTTTGGAGCTTAGGCATTGTGGAGCTCACTCAAATCCTCTTTCCTTTTTTGTTAATAGATTATAGTATTTGATAATAATACAAGGAATCAATAATAAAATTTACAACAATCTTGCCAATTCAAGAGAAAAGCAGATGATTGTATGAGAATCTATTGGGCATTATCTTCATGGGCAACACGTCACTTTAGACCGTGTTTTTCTATTATCATGTGACAATCATCAGAAATAGTTAATAGTACACTACTAATTGCCTTGATGCACTTATAATTTTCTATGTCCAAACAATGTCGCTTGGAATAACCATTTGGGGTAGCATAAAGGCAAAGCTCATTTCTAATGTCTTCGAATGTAGTTGACTATTTCTCAAGTTAAGATATATATATACATCTCTAGCAATATACTTCAACTTTGAAGTATGTTAATCTTTGCATCAAATTGCACAGGAATCTAGTGGGCAACAATTTCACATTTGATAGCTCATATCAGGTGAGTTATAGTTCCTTTTTTGGTAAATAAAATGTCAGATTTGGTTTTTGAAAAAAAGCACTTCCTTAAAGATAAATTAAAAAAAAAAAAAAAAAAAAAAAAAAAAAAAAAAGAAAAAGAAATATAAAACCTCACAAAGCAATATGCTACTTTACAAAGATAACTGGTAATGTTCTACGCTTGCCAGTATTCTCCCTGATTGAATTGTCTTCAAAGAAACTTCCCCTGCAATAGGAATGCTCCACGCTGTAAGCTGCTTTCTTTTCTGCTCTTAATTCTTTTTATATATTTAGTGTACTACCCTTATTCTTTCTTTCTCTGTTGTTTCTTCAGTATAGATGCTGCTGAGGTTTTATAAATTGTATTGTTACTTATGCTCCAGTTGTAATAAATGGACCCTTGTCCTTTTTCCTTGTAAGTTAAACTTCTCTTATTATAGTTTGGTATTACACTTCCCCTGCTTTACATGTAATACCATGCTTCTGAATGTCAGAACAAAAATTTTCGGTAAGAGCAAGAAGTGAGCTTAGCTTGTTTTAGACTGTTGCACACAATTGAAATTCTCTTTCAGCTCTCTATTCTTAGAAACGCTATTGATTAACTGTTGATATTGTTATAGTAAACAAGTTTGAAGAAAATTTCACAAAGTGTGGCAAAGCTCTTGCTCGTGATAGAGTGAATGTGTTAATTGAGAGAGAGTTTCAATACCTACCAGCCATCTGAATGTTGTGGATATGCATGTAAAGCATTTTGACTTAATTCTTATTAGTTTATTTGACATTTGTTAGAAAATTGAGCTGTATGGACCCTAAGGGTGTGGTTGAGGACTAATAAGACCCTGACTTCCAGCAAAAGTTCAAAGTTTAAACAAGTTTCTAAATTGCAAAGTTGTAGGATTTTGCAATAGTCTTTGCTTTTGAACTCAATGAACTCATGAGAAAGATCAAGGAATTCAGGGGTATCAATAAATTTAAAAATAAAAAAAAAAAAAAAAGAATGGAAACCATGTATAGGCATTTAACTTTCAACAGGATAGCTCTCCTTCAATATCTATGTCTGTAAAATGTTTGCATCATGAGCTATTTAAGTTGCTTGAAGTTACCAAATAAAAGTACTCCATCAATTGTCTAAATATTTGGTGTAGGATTTCGATAACAATTGTCACCAGAAGTTTTATCTTTGCAATTGCAGATTCAAGTTTTGCATCAAGTGTGGTGGTGGTGTTGCGCTGAAAGTTGATAAGTAGTGTACGAGGCTGATGACTATGATCTTGGTGGAGCTTCTTTTGTTGTACTTGATACAGAAAAATGGGGTTAGTGATCAGGTTGGTTTCCTGGTGGACAATCTAATACCATGTTCAAAATACTGGCTCGAAGTGACTGGCACCACAATCCCGGAGCTTTATCGCATTTCAAGGCAATCCCTGGATCACTTAATACTATGGACTTGGTCTTGAGAATGGACCTTACAACGTGAGCTTGTCCTTTGCTGAGACAGTTTTTGGTGATCAAGGCTCACTAACATGGAAGAGTCGTGGAAGGCGTGTTTTTGATATCTATATTCAGGTAAAAATTCTCTAGAAAATTTTGGTTCATAACCTTATCGTACACTGATTCTACTATTACATTTCCATCTATTTATATTTACATTGAGAAGTCGGGGTTTTACACTCACATCCTTCCTGTAGGGAACCCTCCGGTCAAAGGATTTTGACATATCAAAGAAGACAGGTGGGGATAGAAGAGCAACTACAGAGAAATTTAATCTATGGTAACTGAGAACTATCTTGAAATTCACCTATTTTGGGCTGGTAAAGGGACCTGCTGCATCCCTACTGGAGGTAGCTATGGGCCATTAATTTCAGCTCTTAGTGTCATTCCAGGTGAAGTATGCGATACTTTGACTCTTTATTAAGATGAGTTACAATAGATGTGCTTCTATGCTTCATTCTGATATACATAACTGAATTTTCCTACTTAGATTTCAACCAACTGTTGGTATTGCACGAAAGAAGAACCGGACTTGGCTGATTGTTGTATTGCCATGGCTCTCGGAATTTTGGGCTTGATACTGATATTTTATTTTTTACATGGGATAAAAAGGCAATGATATGCAGAAGGAAAATCTGTGAAACCAAGTTTGTTTATGAAATCAATGAATTTAGTTTTACTTTAGCATCCCACAATATAGTGAACGGTGAACTTTGTTCTAGTTCACTTAAGAACATTGATACTGGATTTAAAATAACTATTTGTTATAAGGTCATGATATTTGAGCTCCTGCTTCCAAAATTTGGAATAGGATATTTCGTGAAATAGGCAAAGCCGCTGGTGTAATTCATCTCTGATCATGCAAAGCCTTCCATGTTATGTATCTTTTATCTTGCTTCAATATGCAGTGTTACTTGGAATAGGTCCTAAACCAAAAATTTTCAGTTATGCTGAGTTGAGATCTGCAACAAAAGACTTAAACCCTCCAAATAAGCTAGGGAGGGAGGATTTGGACCTGTGTCAAGGTATCTTTTATATCTAAGAACAATAGATAATTACTAGGAATTTGGGTTACTGAGTGTGTAGTGTAGGTAAGGTATGATGTGCTTGACATTATAACAAAAAAACCGTGAATTTTCCCTGGATACTCATCAAGGATGGAGCAGACATATTTATGTTATCAAATCTGGTGCTACAGGGTAGCTTTCTGATGGAAGGGTGATAGCTGTGAAGCAACTTTCACTTGGATCCCACCAAGGGAAAATCAGTTTGTTAATGAGATGCTACCATAACTGCAGTACAACATCGCAATCTTGTGAAATTGCATGGTTGCTGCATCGAGGGAACTAGGCTCCTCCTGTTTATGAATACCTTGAAACAAAAGCCTTGATCAAGTATTGTTTGGTATGAAGATCAGCCTTAGTTTAGAAATTTTCTACTTTTCTTTTCTTGCAATCAGCTGCGACATTTATGCAATTGATATGATATCTCTCTTGTGATTTATCTTGCTGTACAAATACAATATTGCTTTCAAATGTTTAAAGCATCCAAGGTTAAAGAATGAAACATTTGACCTGCTCTGTAAAGAAGCACAAAACTACAAAATTTGCTCGCCAAACTAATAAGAACAAGCAACAAGTTCAATAGAGCCGGATTCACATTTTTAATGAGCACCAATCTTTCCTTGGGATACATTGCTCCTAAATCCTCAATTCTCCAAATCAATTACTCCTAAAGATCTAAATGATTGTAGCCATTGTTTCTACAGGAAAAAGGGATTTGCATCTGATTGCCTACCCGGTTCAATATATGCCTGGGAACTGCGAGAGGTCTAGCATATCTTCACGAGGATCAAGGCCAAGATTGTACATCGAGATTCAAAGCAAGTAATATTTTACTTGATGCAAAACTCTGCCCCAAAGATTCAGATTTCGGTTTGGCAAAGTTGTATGATGACACGAAAACTCCCATCAGCACAAGAGTTGCAGGGACCATGTAAGCTCTTCAATCATTTCTTGACTCCACTCTTCCTTAATACTTGTAATGTGCTGCAAAGTAATATGATGTATTCTATACATGTTGTCTTGGAAGTTACCAACATACCTAGTAGATTTTGTTGTAGAGTATTTCAAAATGTCAACATACATGTATTGATATGACTGAGAGCAATACATGTATGTTGAGAGAACTATTTGTGTCATCTTTTATGTCACATAGTGATTGATGCTATAATCTTGGGGGGGACTTGATTTGTGATTGTGTTGCTTTGTTATTCTCAAGTTTTGCTAAATGTCAGGGTTTTCACATTGTAAAGGCGAGTGGGCACATGGGATACGGTTGATCATTAAATTCAGTTTGAGAGCATATTCAGGCTTGACTTTTGGTTTTAACCATGAGAAACACTTGATTATTTGTAGTGGTTATCTGGCACCGGAGTATGCAATGCGTGGACACCTGACAGAAAAGGCTGATGTGTTCAGTTTTGGTGTTGTTGCTTTGGAGATTATCAGTGGAAGAGCAAACTCTGATACTAACTTGGATAGTGAAAAGATTTATCTTTTGAATGGGTAAGGAAATAAATTTGAAATTTGATTTGTTAATTTTGTTTGCTTCTTCTATGATTCCTAGTTGAGAAAAAACGATTTCTTTTGAATTGTCTATATCTATTTCCAGGCCTGGAGTCTTCATGAAAGTAACCAAAGTTTGGGTTGATAGATCCCCAGTTAACAGAGCTTATGAATCGAAGCTCTTCGAGTAATAGCAGTGGCTTTGTTGTGCACTCAGCATCACCAGCATTACGGCCACCATGTCACGCGTTCTTTGCATGCTCACTGGAGACATAGAAGTGGGAACTGTTACTTCAAAGCCAAGTTATTTGACTGATTGGGATTTTAAGGATACGACAAACTGCTTTTTAACGAAGATATGATACATCCACATCTGCAAGAAGTTACAGCAAAAAGAATAGCCATTCTGAGAATGCAACTGATCTTAGTTCTGGAGTTGACCACTGCTCACTCCTGTAAACGTCACTCGGTTCGGTGACATAATTGCAGAGGGAGGTTAGAAATTTCTTGACTCACTGAAATCAAGTGAATAGTACTGCTCCTTCTGCCAACTTAATCCATGCGAAACACTCACTTATTGATGTTGGCAGCATTTTCAAATCGAAACTATTGTAGAACTTATAATGTTGTGAACTTAGTTGTTACCAACAATATTTGACGATGAATTTGATGAGCATCCTGCTAGATGCAAAGAGAAAATTTCACCATATTTCTTGTTCTTTTTATATCTGATCTGGAGTTAGCCTATTTAGAACTTCTGGATATGGGAAAAAATAGCAATTTTCATATGATTCTTGAGGTCATTTAATTCTGTTCGTTTCAATGCTTTCAGAAAAATTGAAAACTTTGACATTAGTGATATATTAGTATTTCGTTTAATTAATTTATTTGATATAGCATTGAAATAATTAATATCCTTTTTATATTAGTATTTTCGTCTTATCCCTTTCATTTCTTCTCTTATCCTTTTCATTGATAAAGATGTTGTTTGGTACTGTATGAAAATATAGAAGCTTTTAGAAGAGCTTACTTGGTAAAGCTTATAGAATAGAGTTTATTGAAGTAGAGCGAAACTATTATCATTAGTTAATAGTTGTTTGATTGAGAAAATTTTTTAATTATTCAAGTGAGAATTTTCAATAAAAGGTTAACCTTTTAGTAAAAATTTGGATTAACATAATGAAGTGCGTATAAGTTACAAAATTATTAAATTCTTCATATTTTTTATGAAATCAAGAGATAAACTACATTATTTATACAGTGATTTGTCTGCACATCATTCAAACATCATTGTTTAATATGATGTCCCCTCAGCTTTTTACCGTGCGGAGCATTCTTATTGTATGGAAACTTCTTGAAGACAATTTCATCTGAAATATTACTGACGATCACAGAGAATTTCATCTCAATTGCCAGCACCCTATAATCTACTATTTTCTTTTTCTTTTTAATAAGGGAAAGTTATATTCTGAAACTAATAAGGATGAAATAGTTCTTTTATGAAACATAATGTGAGAAAATGTAATTTATCCTTTTTTTTTTTTTTCTTTCGAATCATACAATTAAACATTGATCTATTAATTTTGTAGCGCCTACATTTATTATTTTACAATTCTAATGAGCTTATGTTAGATAAAAAAATTAAGTTTCCAAAAAAAAAATAAAAAAAATAAATAACATGTAAGAGTCCGTTTGTTTTATTATTTTGAATAGAATTTTTAGAATAATATTGGATAGTTGAATGAAGGAGTATTACGAGGTAAAATTTAAAAATTTATAAAAACCCCCTAGGTTTGCTAAATTAACTAAACACCCAAATATATAAAAATTTAATAAATTGACAAAAACACCCTCACCACTCACAGTGCTAGATTCTGGCCACCACCGTCAGAATCTAGCCGAAAAATTACGTTACACCACAGACCGATCGAATCTGACAGGTAGGACATTGATATGGCCTTTTCCGGTCAGATCCATAGATCTACGGCTAGATCTGGCCGTCAACGACTGCAAATGTCCATCTTTGGCCGTCAGCGATGGCTAAAGATATGGTCGTCGTTAATGGCCAGATCCACTGTGGATCTGGCTGGAAAATACCAGATCAGTGAATTATCGGTCATTTTTTGTGGCTGTGTAGACTATTGTGATAGATTCCGGTTATCACTGGCAATGGTTATCGAAATCTGACAAATATTGGTGGGTGGGAGTGTTTTTGTTAATTTTTAAATTTTTTTTTGGGGATATTTAATAAAATTAATAAACTTAATGGATTTAAAAAAATAGACTAATATTTCTTAAATAATATACCAAATAATATTTAGAGAATATGATTGAGAATATGGATAAAAATAATAAGTCAAACGGAGCGTAAATTGTTTCATAAACCTATAATATAAGTATAATATTATTCAATAAAATTAATTTATTAAATTATATGGAAGACAATTAAACAGATAAATTTCATTAGTTAATCCCAAGATGATGATATCATATATCATCACAAAAAGAGCCAATCAAGACCTTAAAAGTGATGACCCCACAGTTTTGTTAAGAAAACACGTCAACGGTGGAAGAGTGGGGCGTGGAACCCAAGATGGTCAAGTTACATTTTTAACAATAATCAGGTTAGTGATCTAGTTACTGCCACGTGTCTTTTTCTTATCATCTGCATACGTGTTCGATTCCTATTGGTTTATACAGCTAAACAGGCTTCCAAGTTGCATGTGATGTGCCAGGAATTTTCAGGGTGTCAAAGCATGGTTGTTAGTATCTTACGATATTGGATGCGTATCATATAATATAATTTGATATAAGCCGCCAACGATACGTATCAAAGAGTATATCTTAAACCTTTCGATACGTTGATATGTATCCTACGATACGATACGTATCTGTTCGTATCCTTAAAAATATCGATATAGATCGATACGACTTTATTAATTTAGGCCAAAGGCCCAAAAAAATTTCGGGTCGAAATCGGGTCACCCAACCCGTTCACTAAAACGTGTCTAAATTTACCTATTTTGCATGGAGAAAGTAAAGAGGAATACGTGTTACCTATTTTACATGATAATAATAATATAAGTGGAGATATCATTGAGCTTGGAAATGATATGAATGATTGAGAGAAAATAATATAAATTCTTAATTTTGTGATTAATTTTGATTATGTAATACCATAATTTAAAGCCAATAATACCACAAAATTCTTTAATTAATCTTGGGAAGGATATTAATTTTTATAAAATTTTGATTATTTTATTAATTTTTTTAAAAAGGTGTATCCTACGATACGATACGATACGATACGCGATACACAATTCAAAAAATTAGGTTTTCGATATACGATATGATACCCGATTTGACAACCATGGTCAAAGTCAAAGCAGTGATGTAATTGCGTCTGGTCAGCATATGGTCCAATAATTAATTCAAGAAGATGCAGGTGCACGCCAATCATTATTTCATACAACAATTCAACTTCACCACTTCACAAACACAAAATCCTACAACTTTCCTTTCTTTCAAAGATATGGCCGAAACAATCGTCTCTGTTGTTGCTGAGGTACTCTTGGGTAAGCTATTCTCCCCTGCTTCCAATGAAATTGGCTTGGCATGGGTGTCCAAAAAGATGCACAAAAGCTTGTTGGCACCTTAACCACTATCAAAGCTATTCTCTTAGATGCTGAGGACAAACAGATCCATAATCAGAAGGTCAAAGTTTGGCTGGCAAAGCTTAAGGGGATCTGCTACGATGCCGAAGATGTTTTAGACGAGACTGAGGTGGAAGGTTTGCATAAACAAGTGGTGAATACTCAAAGCAGTGGAAGAAAGGTACGGCACTTTTTTTCATCCTCAAATCCAATTGCTTTCCGTTTTACCGTTGGGGCATAAAATTAAGGAGATAAAAAGAGGTTAGCAAAAATAGCAGCTGATAAGGATAATTTTATCTTACTGAAAAAGTTGATAGCATCAAGTTATAGGATGGGAAAGGGAGAGGGAAACTCACTCATTTGTGCGTGCTTCAGATGCTATTGGTAGGGATAAAGATAAAGAGAAGATTATGAATTACTGTTACGTCAAGTGATGGCCATGAAATGTTTCTATCATTCCCATTGTTGGGATAGGAGGCCTAGGAAAAACCACACTTGCCAAATTAGTGATAATGATAAAATAGTGGGTGAATATTTTAAGTTGAAAATATGGGTATGTGTGACAGATGAGTTGTTTTGGAAAAACTATAATTGAAAAATCCAATTTGTAACTCAAAAAAATATGTTGACAAGAGTATTGACCAATTGCAAAATATCCTACGTGATATCTTAAGCCATGAAAATATTTGTTAGTTTTGGATGATGTTTGAATGAAGATTATGGGTTGTGGTTTGAATTAAAAAATTATTGATGGAATGTGTTAGTGGAAGTAAAATTATGGTAACTACATGTAGTGATTGTGTTGCCTCAATTATGGGCACTATACCTACACAGGTTAGAAAGTCTTTCTTTGATGATTGCTTGTTAGTGTTTGTTAAAGTGCTTTTAAAGAAGGGCAAGAAAAGCAACATCCCAACCTTGTGGAAATTGGAATAGAAATTGTTAAAAAATGTGGAGGTGTTCCATTGGCAGTAAGAGCGTTAGGAAGTCTACTTTATTCCTCAATTCTGAACAAGATTGGAAAAATTGGAGATAATGAGATTTGGAGGTTGGATCAAAAAGAAAATGACATTTTAAATGCTTTAAGAATAAGTTATAATCATCTGCCACCTCACTTAAAGCAATGTTTTGTTTATTGTTCCATTTTTCCAAAAGACAATTATTTTGCCAATGATGAGTTGGTTCAGTTTTGGATGGCCCATGGGCTTCTTCAATCGCACAATGAAAATCAAGATTTGGAAAATATTGGTAAACAATATGTAAAGAATTGATGTTGAGATCTTTTTTCCAAGATATTGTACAATTTAATGAGAATTTGTCACGTCTAAAATTCATGATCTCATGCATGATCTTGCCACATCATTGATGAGAAATGGGTGCTAATAGTGAAATCCACTAACCAAATTTGTACCAAAAGTTATCGGCACTTATCATTCATTTTGTTGATGCATCTATAATAGATGTTCCACACATTTTACCTAATTTGGGTCATCTGAGAAGCATTACTTTTTGTCCAATCACTAGTGAAAGTACGGTATTAGCCAATCATTTTTGGAATTAATCATCTCAAGGTGCAAATTCTGCGGATGTAGATTTACGTTCTTTAAATATTGAATAGTGCCTAAAAAATTGGTAATTTAAGCATTTGAGATATCTCTATCTAGGACAACCCTAAAATAAAAGAACTCCAAGTTCCATTTACAAGTTGCAAAATTTGCAATTTCTATCACTATTTGGTTGTGAGGAATTAAAAGTGTTAACAAGAGATGCAAAGTACTTGATTCGTCTTAGACGTCTCTTGTTTACTACGATACAAAAGCATCTACCACCAATGGTATTGGTTGCTTGAATTCTCTTCGATGTTTGGGGATTTGCAAATGCAATAATTTAGAATATTTGTTTGAAGATATTGGTTGCCTTAAGGTCTTCGATCACTATGGATTTATGAATGTCCAAGACTTATATCATTACCACATGGTGTGAGAAACCTAAGCTCATTAGAAGATCTTGGTTGATAGTTGTAAAAGGCTTAATCTTGATTTGAGCATAAGATGGAACAGCAAGACAATCATGATGAACTCCATAGCACATGCTCACCTTCGATTTCTCTTTATAGAAGAATTACCACAATTGGTGGATTCCCAATGGCTTAGTCAGTGTTCCACTAACTCTTCGGAAAGGTTGTATCTTCAAAATTGTTCCACTTGAAGGCACTACCAGAGTGATGGAAAAACTTAAGTTCTTGGTATTGAGAAGTGTCCAGAATTGTAGCTTTACCCAAGGATATGGATCGTCTCATCTTTTTTAGGAACTTCTAATTATAGGTTGTCCTAAATTGAGTGAAAGATACAAACAAGAAACAGAAGATGATGATTGCCAGATGCTCATATCCCGCGGATACACTAGACGGAAAGATTATCAAATCAACCAAAAATTAGGTATGACTAATCAATCTCTTTCTTCCTTAGTTAGTAGGTAAATATTAATGATATATTATTGCTCTTCTCTTCATCATTAGATCTAAATTTCGAAAACATTGAACTAATGATTCTTTGTTACTCCTTCATTTTGTTAACTCTATTGTTTATATGTATGCATTGGCCATAAACTTTCAAATAATAGTTCTCCATCAAGCTCCATGTCTAATAACTGTGTGTACAGCTGTTATATTTGATTTAGTGATGATCTTTGTATTAAGTTAGTGGAAGTTATTAAAATAAAAGTACTTCTCAAATTTTGTCTGGTTCTTTACTGTATTCAGATAATTATATTAGAGCTTTTATCTGCGCTTGCAGATTCAAGGTTAGCAATTAAGTGTGGTGGTACATAGTTAAGAGTCGACAATAAGTGTATGAAGCCGACGATGGTGGAGCTTTTTAAGTGTTAAATCCTGAAAAATGGGCACTAGTAATGTGGGCTTGTTTTCTGAGGGACAATTTAACACACTTCCTCAAAACGCCAGCTCAGAAGTGATTAACACTACAACACCAGATCTTATCAGATAGGAAGACATCCCCTGGGTCACTCAGATATTATGGACTTGGTCTTGAGAATGGGGTTTACAAGTAAGCTTGTTCTTCACTGAAATAATTTATGAAGATCGAACCTCAAGAAAATGATGGAGTCTTGGAAGACGTGTTTTGGATGTGTATATTCAGGAAACATTCGGTCATCAAATTGAATTTGGAGATCTTGTGAAACATACTCGTGTCCTTTACTGATCCTACCATTACAATGCCATCTATTTATTTTTATATTGAAAAGTATAATACTGTCTCTTCAATATCATGTAGAGAACTCGCCAATTGAAGGATTTTGACATGACAAAGGAGGCACTGGTGTAGAAGAGCAATTGCAGAAGCTTTGATGCTAAGTGACTGATAACCATCTTGAGATTCACTATTTTGGGCTGCTAAAGGGACCTGCTGTGTACCTGTCACAGGTAGTTATGGACCATTAATTTCAGCTCTCAATGTCACTCCAGGTAGACTATGTGATCTCTCTGAATCTTCTTTTAGATGAATTACTATAAATATGCTAATTTGGATATACTTCTCGCTGAATAAAAGAACTAGACTGGTGATGGTATAAGTCCTCTGTGATTTGGCGTCATACTGATATTTTAGTTTTTCTGAGATGAGAGAAGACAAAGATGATACGAAGGTAAGAGGACCCAATAGAATTTAACAGAATAACAGCTATAAAATCTCTGAAAAAATCAATTAATTTGCATTATTCACTTCTGCTCAAGCCCTGTGCATCTAAGCAAAGTAGATTCTAGAATATGGTTGTAACAGAAGTGTTGAATATGTTTTAGCACTCCTGAAACATAATACTGGATTTATAATATATCTGTGTAATGATAAAAATGGGTAGCAGTAGTGTATTCCATAAGATAGGCAAAGCTGTTGCGTAATTCATCTCTTCTATTGCAAGTCCTTCAAAGTTATGTAATATTTGTCTTGTTCAATATGTAGTACTACTTGGAATAGGACCTAAACCAAAAACTTTCACTTATGCCGAGTTGAAATCTGGAACAAAAGACTTTGACGTATCAAATAAGCTAGGGGAGGGAGGATTTGGAACAGTTTATAAGGTAACTTTTATGTCTTACATTAGAAGTTACTGTTATAGAAGTTTATTGGATCTTAGGTTGCAATGGATTAATCTAATGCGTGTCATAGATAGCAATATAACAGGAAAACTAGGTTGGTTTTAGTTTTGCATTTTCACCAGGAGTAGATATGATTTATGTTGTTAAATCTGGCACTACAGGGTACGCTTTCTTATGGAAGGGTGATAGCTACGAGCAACTTTCACAAGGATCCCACCAGGGAAAAATCAGTTTATTAACGAGTTACTGCCATAACTGCAGTGCAACATCCAATCTTGTGAAATTGTATGGATGCTGCATTGAAGGAACAAGGCAGTCTTCTTGTTATAGAATATCATGAAAACAAAAGCCTTGATCAAGCATTATTTGGTATGAGGAAACTACTTCATAAAAACTTAGGTTTACAATTTTCTATCTTGGTTTTCTTGCAAGCCACTGAAACATTATACATGTCACCTTTCTTGTACGGTACTTATTAACTATAAATCTTAGCAGTACGAATACAATTTAAGACTTTCAAGTATTTAACCAGTCCAAAGTTTAAAGAATGAATATTTTTCTGCTTTGTAGTATGCCTTTTGTGACAACATCACACTCTAAAGAAGATGCAAAACTACAAAATAGCTAGCTAAATTTCTTAGAGCAAGCAACAGGTTTTTCTAGAGTAGATTGTCAATGGTTTAAGAGCTCCAAATCATTCTTGGAGATTATTATTCCGAATCTCAATTTCTATTTCTATAACTCTTAAAAGTTCTTCTGTGATATGGCCCCATTTATGCAGGAAATAGGGTGTTACATCTTGATTGGCCCACTCAATTTAAGATATGCTTAGGAACCGCAAGAGGTCTAGCATATCTTCACGAGGAGTCAAAGTCAAAGATTGTACATCGAGATGTCAAAGTAAGTAATATTTTACTTGATACAAAGCACTGTCCCAAGATTTCATATTTTGGATTGGCAAAGCTAGTTGATGATAAGAAAACTTACATCAGCACAGGAGTTGCAAGGACCATGTAAACTCCTTTAATCATTTCTTGATTACCTTTCTTCCATTGTAGCTTGTTTTGGAATGTGCTGCGTAGCGTAATTTATACATGTCATCATGGAAGTAACCATCATTTTTTGTAGTCACCTAGTCATAGATGCTAGAATAATTTCTTTGGAGTAGTTATGTCATTCAATGGCTTTGTATTATATAAGTTTCTAAATTCAGAATGTTTTCACATTGTCAGGGCAGGGGCACGTTGTAGTTTCTTAATTTGGACTAGATATGTCATTCAATGGCGTTGAAATAACCTAATTTTGAACCCTAGTTTTATCAATTGACAAAAGGAATTGTACATTTACTTCTTTATGTATTAAGCAGGTGTATTAAGCATTGATGTCTGAAGTTTGGAATTTGGAATTAATAGCAAGAGAATTAACCATTGGTTTAAAAACCGGACTGGAGGGCAACCCGCTCTGCTGGCTGGGTCATGATTCAACCGGTCTAACCGGTTGGACCGCCGGTTGGATTGGTGACATCATCATAATGTGTGATGACGTCAACACATTTTTTAAAAAACTTTATCCAAAAGGCCACTGGTTGGAATGAGATTGGAACACACTTCATACAACAAATAATTCTCACCATCTTTTAATTTCCTCCATCAAATCCTTAACCATTTAACAAGAAGTATGAAATTTCTCAAACAATAGAATTAAAGGATCTTGGGCTTTTGTGTAGCCCAAATGTTAGATACAATATAGTTTCAGCCCCATTCTATAACAATTGAGACTTAAATTGGCCCATGACCAAGTAGTGGAATACAACTGGCCTTGGAAAACAACTGCAACATTTCCAGGAAGCCAATGCTTTGGTTTTGGGAAACATTGGAAAATTCGAAAACCAAAACAAAACAGGTTAAGCATCGATACCATGCCATTACCAGACAAAACCAATGGCTAATCAATGGGCATGACATCCCCTGTTTTTTTTCTTCTGATGACTCAACTTCTTCATCTCAAACACCAAAACTCTGATTCTGTGGAAACAATACTCAGTCAGTTCCCCTCCTCAACATATTTCGCTGACCAGAACCAATTGAAGCTGAAGACTAACAGCTATATACAAGCAACTGTGGAAGATGAAGATCTGGTGGAGTCAAGGTTCTACCTGGACACGCACCAGCCTTAAAGACTCAATTTCTTGATCGCAAGTTTCAATCTTGTAATCGATTATATCTAAGTCTTCCTTTTCGTTTTTGTTTTCCATTTTCTTCCTGTACATACACAAGATGTGCATACGTTTTATAGAAAAAAAAATCATCAATGAAATTTAATGGAGAAATTTTCGAAGAGAAGCTGAGAAATCTGAGAAATTTTAGTAGAGAAACTGAGAAAGAGAAGAATCTGAGAAACAGAGAAAGGAAATCGATGGAATGGGCTGCGGTAGTGCGATTGGGTAGGGTTGGAGGTTTTGTAATCAGACCGGTTTGTCTGCTTCATTGACTTTATCCGGGTTTTGATCGGGTTAACGCAGTTTAATGTATAATGACGGTTTTAATGTTGACTCGGACCGAATACGTGACCGGTTTCCGGTTCAACCGGTTGGACCGGCCAGTTAGGTCTGGTTTTTAAAAAAGTGGAATTAACGTAAATCATAATTATTTAGAAGAAGAATAGTTTATAGTCTTTTCATGGATAACTGATTGGCTTTAACATAAATGCCAATATAATTAGAAACCATTCTCATGTAAAGGCACAAACATGAATTTGAAAGTGAAAATTCTACTTTTTTCTTTAGGGTTTTCCCACTTTTGCTTCATCTTTCTCTTCGTACTTCACAACTCCACTACTCAAATTACTGACCCTAATGAAGGTACGTACTCTCTCTCTCTCTCTCTCTCTCTCTCTCTCTCTCTCTCTCCATGTCTTTTATCTGTGTATTTTACTTTACAAATTAATTATTAAATTTTACTAATTTATCAGTAACTAGCTTTAGATTGAAGTGAACCCCCTTTAGCAAAATATATTCTATTTTGTTTAAAAGTGTGTAGGAGAAAGCCAAATAAAGAGGGACAAAATTAAGTTGAAAATTTCCTCAAAACCATTTGTGCTATACTGTGTAGGGAACACTTTCATATTAACTTGTTTCACATTTTGTTCAAGCATGGACAGATTATATTCACTTAGATTGAGATTGGGTTTTGGTTTAATTTTGTGTTATTGGGATTGATTTTTGAGTTCTTCATAACTTTTTATTGAACTGTTTGTGCTATACTATGTAGATTATTTCTAATGCTTTTGAGGGATCTTAACTTTTGGTTAAAACTTTCCCTAAATTTGTGTTTGCAATTTATCCTTTTAAGTGTACTTTTCCTAAGCCAAGAGAGTTTGCATCTGTAATCGGGTCAAATTTGAGGAGCTATGATTGAAACTTGTATTTATTTTTTGCAAGAGTGTATTTGCACAGGAAATAAAAGGAGTAATTCCAGAAGAACTAGTGGCTTTGAAATTTCTGACAAATTTTTATGGATTTTCCCATTCATTTCCCTGCCTTTGATTTGTATAAGTTAAATTTGACCTTTATCGTTTTCTAATTAGTGGACATTATATTAGATTTGATTTAGTTTTTCTGTTTAATATTACAGTAGAATCAAAAGAAATTATTTCACTGGTCCCTTGCCTGCATTTATTGGATAATTATCTCAATTGAAGTATTTGTAAGTATTGAAAAATACCCTTTGAATTCAAAGC